CTTAAACCCCGTTGGGTTGCGAAACGTTTGGGAAAAAGGGGGGTTATTGTTTTGTTGTGTGGCCAGCCAAGGGGGGGAGAAACAGGGAGAAAGAGTTTGGGGGGGTTTGTTCACCCATGGGGTTCGGTCGTGGTGTACAGGGCCCTTTGGGAAAAGTGGCGTCCCACAACAACATATTTGGAGGCCAGGGAGAAAAGAAGAAAACCCCGGGGGATTGCTGCAAACCCAAGGGGGGGTAGGGGGGGGATTTGGCCCAATAAACTTAAATTGTTCCTCCGGGAACATGGGGGGGGGGGGGGGGGGTGGTCGAAAGTTGCTAACCCGGCCTTGTCCTTCGAAAGCGAGTGACCAGTTTGCGTACCAATATGCGTGTGGCACAAAGGGTCTGTACGGTGACATTCGCACGTGCCTACCGAGGAAAATGCATCTGTACCTGTAGCGCGGAACCCTTGCCGTCCCAGGTGCTGTGCCAGTCGTGCGTGGCCTCGTGAAACTTCATGGCGGCGTCGCTGTCCTTGTTGTCCCACATTTTCCCTCCCTGCGAATGGAAACAGCGTCCCGAGCGGCTGAGACAATGAACTAATAGCGGCGGCGCTGCAACATGGTACGTTCTACGACTGCGACTACAATGTACTGACCGTGAAATTATTTATCAGCAAAGCGAAATCAGAAAAGAGGGGGTCGTCCTCGGTAGACGTTGGGGGGATGGGATCTGTTGAAAGATCACTTCCACATTACCTTGGGGAGATGGGACCTGTTTAAAGGTCACTTCCACAATACCGCCCCCCTTTGTGAGCCTACTTGTTTGCTGTGCAAATAATAGGCAACAAATATCACCCCGCGAACACAGGGAACACTCGCGCTAACAAAACGTACAACAAACCCCGGTGGAAACCAAGAACAGCGTTGACTTGCAGCAGCGACTGCGTAAAAAACGTGCATCTGTTCAGCAGATGCAAGTCTTGCTTCTTTCCTAATCAAAAAGAAGAGCAAGACGAAACCAATTTTTTCTGCATCCCCCTGTTCTATTTCTTACCCGATCCACAAAAGGCGACGCCTGAGACAACCAGCAACTTCGACAATGCCAAACAGAAGCTTGTTCTTCACAACACAATAACACAATTCAAACAACAATGAAAAACCTGGGCTGTTCAGGCATACTGTACGTGAGAACGGGCAGAACAGGAATATTGATCCGGTCTGCTTTTGGGCGCTTGTTGTGTCGCTCGTTGAGTACAAACCTGTGATTCTTGTTTTTTCCGTTCTTGAGCGTTTTGTTGCCGTTCTTTCGGAGCAGACCGGGTTG